ATCTAATGTAGTGTAGGGCGTTTGAGAGTACTGACTCCCAATGACGATCATTCAGTTTCTTTGACATAAGGGCAAGTTTAATTGCTTTCTAGGTGATATCATTGTATCTTTCTGCCTGTCCATTACCACTGGGGTAGTAGGGTGTTGTCTTGTGGAAATGCCCTTATTTAATAGATATGCCTTTATTTCTTTTGATAGAAAAGAAGTACCTCTATCAGAGTGAATATAACCTGGAAAGCCAATCATCAGACAGATTAACAGGACATTTTTTGTTAGCAAACACACTGATTGGGATTCATTTCATGATTTTCTTTGTGATGCTCCCTGGAATAAAATTTTTAATCTTCCCATTGAAAATTGTGCTACTGCCATTTCTTTCTGGATGAAATCTGGCATTGAAGCTTTCATGTCAGCACAGACATACCAAGTGAAATCACAATGTCTGCTTAGTTCACTCCTGCCTGTTCAGTTGCTATAGCCAACTGGAATCACTTCTTCTGGTTATGCCAATGTGATAGTTCCAATCAGACACATTTTTGTATCCAGTTGTAATGAGGCAAAATATCTATTTGCTGATAGAGTAACAACAGTAAATCCTGAATTACTCCTCACTTCAATAAATTTGAAGTATTTTCATCTACTACTGATAAAGCAGGTTGCTTTGCTGAGAAATTCTCTTTCAACTCTATTCTTGCCTCTTCAGGAGTATCTCTGCCTGATTTTCCCCCCAGAACAGAATCACAACTCAGTGATAACTCTGTCCATACTTTCGGCTATCATCTCCAAACTAGATCCCCAAAAGGCTTACAGACTAGTAGGTATGCCTAAGGAAATATGCTCCTGAGCTGGTTCCTGTTTTTTTTTTTTTTCCAAACTCTATAATAAATACCTTGCTAATTCTTGTTTTCCAGCTTTTCAGAAATTCTCTTCAGTAGGTCCTGTCTAAGAACTGGGATGAACCATCTAATCCCTCTAATCATCATTTTATTCATTTTTTACCTTTTTTAGCAAGATACTAGAGGCTGTAATCAACTCACAATTAGTTAAGCATCTTGCTTCACACGACCTTCTTTCAGATAAACAATATGATTTTCGTTTTTCTAGGTCATCTGCTGATGTGTTAACTGTTATCACTGAATTTGTCTATTGCACTTTAGATAAGAACTGCTGTGGCTTTAGATATATTGAAGGCATTTGGCATGCTGGCCTTCTGTACAAGCTCAATAGTTATGTTTATTGTTAACAAATCTGGTAATGAATGTTATGTTAAATGACCATGCTTCTCAATCATTACACCTTAATGCATGGATCCCGTAGGGCATTATCTTTTGACTTGCTTTGCTTCTTACTCAACAACCTTACCAGTGTCATCAGTTTCTAACTATGTATTTATGCAGATGACTTCACTATTTAATATTTAATAGTAAGTTTGTTAGGTACGATAAAGTAAAATGGGGACAAAAAATGGCTTGTGAATTATAATACCTTCATGACAAAACTGCTATCCTTTAATATTTTTTTCCTCCATCTGTATAGGAGAGCAACTCATTGTGCCTTATCGATTTCATGTTTTCAACTGACATGAAGTGAAGCAATTGAATCAATTGCTAGGTATGCTGCAAAGAAGGAACACTGTGTTGTGCCAGATATTTTTTTTGTCAGAATCCATCTTGCACATTTATAAAGCTACCATTCATCTATGCATTGAATATTGCTGTGATATCTGGCCTGGTATTTCTACTACATATCTTGAGATTCTCAACAAAATCCAAAGAAATGTCTGTAATGTAATCAGTCCTGACATGGCATCTCGACTCCAATCACTTTTCCACCTCCATGATGTGGCTTACCACTGTTTTTCCTGTAAATATTTTCATGGCAGTTGTTCTAATAGGCACTCCTATTTGGTATCTTGAACATGTGAATTTAAGATTGGCTACTAGGTCTCGTCATTTTACTGTTGAAATAGCTAAATATAATCAAGGTTCTGTTCTAAGAGTCTCTCTTCTTGCCTGTGGAACTCTTTCCAGTTTCTGGATTCCCTGCCACCAAAGATTTAAATGCAACATCAATTGCCATCTTTTATCTTCCTGAAACCTGTTCTTTTATTGTCTTTTCTCCTCACTAACATCTTAATATTCTCTTCTACTTGCAGCAACCACTTGTGTCTTAGTGGCATTATCACCTTGGTTGGGGTGAAATGATTAAAAAAAAATCTGGCAGTCAGTAGAGTGACCAAAAACATGGACCCAGTCTCTGATTTGACCCTCCCCAACAATATCAATACAGGACTATAAGTTTGATTAGTTATGCAATTAAAGTGATTTTGAAAATCACCCTAATTTCAAATAGCATAGTTGTTTTATATGATTCATTATCTACACTAATTGTAACCTACCTGTATATGAAGTTCATATACTACAACATTTATTCTGAAGCATATTCTCTTGTAGAAAAGTACATTTTGTTTATTATATGAAATGCACAGCCAAACTAAGAAAGATTTTAAAAATTCTGGTTAGTTATTTGATCAGATTTTGGGGTTGGGCTGAGAAATTTTAGGTACTCTCTCATATGCATTTTTATTTGTTTTTTGTTAAGTAGATTTAGCAATGAAATCTTTGTCCTAATTTTTGAAAGTCAAAAATTAGTTTAAAAATATTTAAATGAACTAATGAAATCTTTCATGAAATCTTTATCATACAATTTTCAAAGCACTTACTGATATTGCTACAAATTTCAATTTGAAAAAAACTGTATTAAAATAAATAAATAAAAAAAATCTATTATTTACATATTGTAAATTTAATTTAAAAATGTTTTCACACAACAGGTTAAATAGAAAATGTATTTCTGTGCAGTAGGTATATTGTTAAAAATCTATTAAATTTTTCTTTAACTTAAAATAATATTTATAAATTTTGTGAAATTGGTATAACAAAAAGATTTCACATTCCAGTTAGAAATTGATATTTTAGAAAATTAGAAGACCATGGTAGTCAGAAACTATGAGAAATAGTCAACTTTATGTAAGTGGACATATATAAGTGCTTATAAATAATTGTAACTAAATAAAAATGTCCCATTTTAGGGGCCCTAATTAAGAAACTACATAGACTAGAAATAAATAAACCCAGAACTATTTTCTTCATGTATTAGACTACAGGACCACCAAAGATACTCAGTATCTTTTAAGCATGCAAAGCTATGAAAAATCAAATTTGGCAAATTATGCAGTTTTGAAATCAGCAAAAATTAACAACAAATTTCAAGAGGCTGTAACCCTTGAACTAAAGGCTTGTTTTTCATAGGTGGGTACCATATACTAAATTTTTTCATAGGTGGGTACCATATACTAAATTTTCATAAAAATCTGTGATGGAATATAAAATACATCATAAATTCATTCTGAACTTAGAAAAATAAAAATAAAACTAAACAATCACTTTGAGATAAGACAAAAGTATGTTTCCAGAAAATAAAGTAAAATACTTCATCATGCATTGTACTTGAATCAAATTCAGTTCATACCAATAAAAATTCCTTACTGACAGGATTACTGATTTTTCAGTTATTTTGATGTGCCAATTATAATTCATTTGCATTTTATTTCCAGTTGTAAAAAAGAAAAAAATAAACAAGAAAAACAAGTATATAAACATTTTTTTCTATTAAATTACTTAATTTCAATGTATTCCACTTAAAATTATTTTAAAAATTTTATTGTTTAAAATTTAGGTTAAGCTATATTGTATTTTATTTAAGTGTAAATTCAATTCATACAATTATTATTATTATTACTACTACTGTGGGAAAACATTATATGGATGAAAAATTTTTAGCCAAAAGTCACTTCTCAAAATCAGTATTCTGATGTTTGTTCTTTGAAATACTTATTTGTACATTTAAATGTTTATATAGAGACACTGTCAAATAGAAGCTTTTAATAAATTTTGATAAGTTAAAAAATATAAATTTATTATTACCATTAATTCTTAGCTTAGGAAATAATATATCATTTTCACAAATCTTGTACAAAAACCTGCAGTGGCTTTTTTCTCATTTTAATATATTTTGTAGAACAATGATAAAATTATTATTCATTTTATAAACATCCTTTGAAAAAAATATGGTTAATACAAATTTATGGGTTACCTTCATATTACGTTTGATATTATGAACATCTTACCTAATCTTGAAAATAAAATGATGAAATGCACTCATTTGAATTTACCAATAACAAATTAAAGAATAATACTTTTTCATAATAATTTTGCAAACTATAAAAATGCCATTTTTTTGAAGAAATGTTGACTTTGCTTAAACAGCCACCAGAAAAAACTGAAGTTACCTTAAAAAAAATATAAAGAAAATTGAATCAGAAAAATCTTTTTCTTGCAAAATAATTGTAACCACCTGGTGGTGGATATTAAGAGCAAGCAGCACCCTCTATTTTAAAGCCTGAGACACACCAAAAATATTTTTTAATTAAAAAAAATGCTGTAAAATTTTGCATATGACTAATTTAAAAAATTGTAGTGGTTGATTTTTTTTTTTTTGTTAATTATACTGTCAGGGATAATATATACTATTTTAAGCAAACTGATTTATATGTATGAAAGCTAGTTATTAGAATTTGATCATACAATATTTATATGTATGAAAGCTGGTTATTAGAATTTGATCATACAATGAATATTTTGACTGTATTGCTAAATTGTTTTTAATAATCTTTGTGCATATAGAAAAGTCATAAACTTTATTGAATAATCATGTCTATTTTATCATTTCTATTGTTGCTATTTCTGTTCTTTGTAAAGAAGTATTATTTTCTAGTCAGAAAACTAAAAATTTGGGAAATGGAATATGTTTGACACCAAGTGAAAAATCTTATAAATATTTTTTGCGATTCATTATAGTTTCTAAAAAGATTATACAGTTTTTTTTTTGTTAATTATAGATTCAATGCACACTTATTGTTTTCTTTTTCTTATTTGCAGGTTCAGTTTATAACTGTCATTACCCATAGCCTACAATTGCTGTTCATAGAGTGCAATTATCCATTGGTGTTTGCTCTTGCTATTGCAGCAAATTCTTTCATGATGTTAGTTCTTTTTGGAGACTTTTATTGGAAGACATATTCTCAGAAGAAACTGTTAACTAATAACAGCAATTTTATTTACACTAAGAACAACAAGCAGCAAACTGTATCTGAGATGGATGGCACAAGAGCTACAGGGCTGAAAATGGATTAATTTAACATTGTTATATGTTATTTTTATACTTTTGGTAAGAGACCTTTTAAATAAAAAAATCGTTTGCAAATAAATTCAAGGAAAAAGTACTTTTATTAATAGATGATAAAAAAATGATATTTTATAATATATTTGTAATTTCAAGTTTTTTTAAAAAAAATCTTTTTTTAGCAATATCTTGATTTTTGTCTACTTTTTGATTGAGGTTATTATCAAACATTTTTTCCTAACAATGGTAATTTTGAAATCTTTCCTTCAAACTTCATGAAAGTAACTTGTTGTTACCAATTGTATAGTGCACAACTTTAGTTGTAGTTTTTACTCACAATACAGTATAAAAATTTACATTTTCAAATGTATAAAACTAAAGGTATTTTACTGTTATGTAATAATCAAAACAGTATAATGGCAAAGAAAGATGATAATATGATTAAAAATACTGGATATCCATGTTTTAAAAAGTACTGAATCTGAATTGTTGAAAAATTGTACAAAAATGTTTTTTTAAAAAACAAGACAAACAGCATCTAACTTGAATAATCTAAAAAGAGAAAAGCATTTTTAGCAGTATTTTGATCATGCTTCTGTTTCAATTGGTTTGCTTCAGGTGAAAATACTGATATTATTTGCACTATGCTTCCCAATGATAATTTTGTAAGAAACTGTTAACATTAAATGCCTCAATGATATTTTTTTTCTGCTTCATAAAATTTATAAAATATTTAAACTTGAAAAAATTCATTATAGTTATTTTTATTTTTTTTAACCTAAACAAGGCAATAATACCACTAAAATACAAGGGAAGAGAATATTATGTCATTAGTGAGGATAAAGTACAATAAAAGAACAGGATTCAGGAAGACAGAAGATTGCGATTGAATTTAAATTTTTAATACTTATAGGTATCAGGGAAGGAAGAAACTGAAAGAGTTCAACACTATTAGAATAGAACTTATGGTTGCATCTACCTATTTCAGCAGTAAAATGATAAGACCTAGTTGCTAATTGAATACTTAAATTCATGTTCTCAAAGAAAGCTCATTAGAACAATTACTATGCAAATTATAGAAAAGAAAGAGAGAAGCATGTCATGGTGGTGGGAATGAAGTGAATGAAGTTGAGATGCCAGGTTAGGACTGATAACATAACATTACAGATCCTTTTTTGGATTTTGTTGGGAATCTAGAGATATATAGCTGGAACACCAGACTAGATGTGGTAACAATATTCAATACATGGATGAATGGTAGATTTATAAATGTGCAAAATGGATTCTGGCAAGAAAAATTATCTGGTATAACACAGTGAACCAACTTTCATAGTAACAGAATAAGCAATTAATTCAATATAATCATTCTACTCCATATCAGTGGAAAATGTGAGATGTTAAAATTTACAAGACTTTCTCATCCCAGTTAACAACTGATTGGAAGTCATTTTCAAGATCACTTAACAATTTTACTTTATCAAATCTATTGGACTTACTATTAAGACAGTATTAAACAGTTGTGTCATCAGCATAAATACCAAGTTGGGAACTGATGATATTAGGAAAGGTTGTTGATGAAGATATGAAACAACGCAGTTCCACAAATAGAGCCCTGAAGGATCTCACATTAATAGGAAATCATCTAGAAGAGTAACCATTCAATACTACTTTCATTACACAGTTAAGAAAGATGTAATCAAATCAAATATTCAGCCAGAGATACCATAGCTTATGATTAAAACCAGCATGCCAAGTACCTTTGAGATATCTATAGCCACAGCACAATTCTTGCTGTTCATATCTAAAGCTTGATAGACTTTTTCAGTAATAACATTTAACACATCAGCAATTGACCTAGAGAAGCGAGAGTCATATTGTTTATCTAAAAGAAGGCCATGTGAAGTGAGATGCTTAACCAATTTGGAATTGAGGGATGAATACTTATATTTTATAGATTATGCACAAGCTTTTGACAAGGTACATCACAAAAGAACTGTTAGAATACTAGGTAAGCTTGATTTATTTGAGAAGGATATTAGAATAATACAGAATTTACACTAGTACTAAACCACCTGCATGAGGATAGAAAAAGAATTCTGTAAATATTCAAAAACAAAAAGGTGTGTAAAACAAGGATATGTCTTCTCACCAGACTTATTCAATATTTGCAGTGAAACAATCCTAAGAGAATTAGAAGTCCTACCAGGATTCATTATTGGTGGCCACAGTCTTAACATTAAATCTGCAGATGGCACAATCCAGCATAAAAATAAAAGACATGGAAAGGAATCTACAAGAACTCATTCAGAAGGTAGTAAAGAGAAGCGAGAAGAAAGGAATAAGCATCGACTGTAACAAGACAGAATATATGGTTGTCAGCAAAAGAAAGTGTCAAACATGCAAATTCCAAATTGGGGATATCAAATTGTGCAAAAATTTAATTATCTAAGAAGTGCTTTTGTAGAGGACCATAATGGAGAACTCTAATTTGTAGTGTTAAGTGAGAACAGAAGACTTTTCAAGAGAACATTTTCTTACAAGAATTGCAGAGATACAGTCAAATCAACATTTGTTGTGACGATCTAGTTTGGAGATGATAGCAGATAGCATGGGCAGAATTATATGCATATCACACAGTAGAGATTCTGTTCTAGGTGGAAAATCAGGATATCAGAGCACTCTTAATCAGTTGAGAGTGGAGTTGGAAGAGAATTTATAAGCAAAATATTGTACTTCATCAGCAGTAGCTGACAACACTTCAAACTGATTGAAGAGAGGGAGGATTGAGGATTTACTCTTGTTTAACACTCTCTTACAGAGCCACCAATAATCATGAGAACCAATCTTGTGAGAGGCTATACAGTGCTTAATTCTTTCAGTTAGCAATAACTTAATATTATTTCTTAGCTCAACTGAGACTTCATGTGGAACTCATACATATGATCCATCAATAAAGGTGCTGGAAAAAATTGTTGATTCCTTGTACCATTCTAGTAAGTACCTGATTCTGCTGCTATCCTCTCCCTTTACAAGAGCCAGAACACACCAGAAATAGAATACTTCTATCATATATGAGCAGGAGCTAAACAGTCTTCACTTTCCAGTCTTCAAAAGATTGGTGCATGAGAGTGGAAGTGAAGAATGAGAGATAGATGTACGAAATGCACATTTCTACCCTCTCATTTAAGAATTCACAGACTGACTGCAAGTTAGACCTTTTGCAATACATCCAACCAATTTTTCTCCAACTGAAAGTTGAGTATCTTGCACAACCCATCCATTGAAGAGTAAGTGTTCTCAAAGCAAATTTGTGGCTTTCACAACACAAAGAAAGAAAATCACTTATAACAACGTCAGGAAAATAACTCCTCGAACGCCGTAGCCAAAACTGCCCGAATTTTCCTTCCCCGAGTCGAAAACATCAACTGCTTTTATCGGCAGAACCTATTTTTTCCATTAAATGGACAGCCGGGATAGGATGCTCCGTAATTTGCTTATTAATATACTCTTATAGCGACTCCGCGGACTTGTTTCTTTTTAAGTCACAGAATACACGCGACGACTTGTCACTTGGGTTGACGAGGTAAGTCGCTATAAGAGTTTTGCTGACTACTTTTGGCAATCCCTCCCCGCAGATCGCACACAAAAACACAAAAACTTTTTTCCGGGGTACTTGATTATCTCGTTCACTACACTCCCCCCCTGTCACATAAGTGACACTCATGGGCAGGCCTCTTTATTCTTAAGCTTCTCTGGAGCGGGGCGACTGTTGGAGGAGATTGTGTGTTATATTCTGAGGTTTCTTCTGATCTGACAACGTCATGCCTTCATCATCTGAAGAATGTTCTGAAGATTCTTCTTCTGAGGATTCTTCTGGTCTGACAACCTCACGCTAGAGTCTTCACCATCTGAAGAGGTGCCTCCGATGGTAATTATTTGTTCACTTTCTGAGCACTCACTGCTAGTGTCACTTGTTGACGTATCTGTACCTACATAGTGAAGCAAGTCCTTTATGTGTCTTGGTATGCCATCAACCAGCACAGAATGCGAGTTACTTAGTCCAGTGACATGCCCCACCCGGTACCGGGTTGTACACCGGCTATGTGGAGATTTCACCCACACGCAATCGTTCGTTTATCCGTTCAGTTGAATGCGTTGCGTCAATGCCTCGTAGCGGACTTTGTACTGATAAATCATGTTGGCTGGCGCAGTTGTTGGGCGATACATTATTGTCTCTCAGAGTAACATTGTACCAATACACCGCCTCCATTATGGAACACTGCTTCCTAGCAGCGATTCTTTTGATGCTCCGATGACATCGCTTCGATTATGCCATTCCCTGATGGGACATACGCGCAGCGAAAATCTGAGGTGTACTCCCCAAATCCACAAAATCTTTGAATAGTCCACTGCGGAATGCAGTGTCATTGTCAGTGAGGAGTTCCGTCGGAGGTCCACGTTCAAAGAACAATGACCCCAAGTGGTCAATGACGCTTGCGGAATCCTGTCGATGCAGACGCCGCCAAATAGTGAACTGGGTTGGGCCACAGTCAATCAGGGTTAAATAGTGATGTCCGTTATAATGGGTGATGTCCATTCCAACACGGTGCCACACCTTGCTTACACTCACTTGTCCTTTTTGCCATTGCACAGGTGCTGGGTCGATGGACTGACACTCCTTGCATCCTCTGACCAACTGCCCTGACAGCAATCTTTGGGATCACGGAGGATAAATCTGCCTTTCCATCATCTTATAAGGTCCGTTTTACACCGGGATGTCCGCTTTGGCAATGCACAGATTTTCAAAAATCTGAGTTATAGTTGCTCTCCTGATGTTACACAGACATGTTCTTTTCCTTTCTACATCTTTCTTAAAAGCGTTTAGCCATTTTTTGGGGTACCCTTTGTTAAAATATCGGCCTTGTTCTGCTTTGATCTGACCAGCTGTATGTCTACGGATAAATGGTATTCATTTACCAACTTTTTAATTCTGTCTAGCCTCCTTCAATGA